TACTACTACTACTACTACTCTACTCTCTCTCTCTCTCTCTCTCTCTCTCTCTCTCTCTCTCTCTCTCTCTCTCTCTCTCTCTCTCTCTCTCTCTCTCTCTCTCCTTCTGATGGATTATATAAGTAAAAAAAATGTTTTCTCACCTGCCACGTAATCTCCAAAACCAATGGTGGTCAACGTGACGAAAGCGTAATAAACAGCTTCTTCGTAACTCCAACCCTCGTAATGAGAGAAAAGAAATGCTGGGAAAAAGATGAACATAACGAAACCTGGCAACAAGTGAGCAAATATTTGTGCAGCCAATCCAGCTTTTCCCGTTTCGAACGTTGTTAATTTTCTAGGATAATAATTGTCACGGCCATGCTTATAAGATTTATACTTTTGATGAGCTTTAACGAATACACGGCCAAAAAATTCTCCCAATTGTGTCAACAAAATTCCATTCATAGGTATGCCTATCAGACCATAAAATATCATCAGGATGCGACTGAGCCTGTTCGTTGGAGCCAAATTCCCGTAACCTATATTACATATATTACATCGTGTATATTCGATACACGATTAAACAATGAGAATTATAAAATTTTTGTTACATTTCATTCGTGATATAAATCATAAATCGTATTAAATCGTAATTATAATTAGATACGATTAACCGATATTTTGAAAATTTATTAGTACGTACGTACCTATTGTGCTGACGACGGTATAAGCGAAATAAAAACTATTATAAAAATCCCATTTAAGGGGATAATCGCCTTCGGTATAATTGTAAACTGATTTTCCGCAGTATCGTGTCAAGTTCTCGAGAATTTCATCGTGATCGTGATTAAGATTCGGTACATAATGCGTGTGAAGCAAAGCTGAAAAAAACAACGTCGAGATGATATGAAAATTAATTAAGATAATTTGTAACGCGGTTAAAAATTGAGAATTTTGTTATAATTTTGTATAATGAATTTTGTTTTCGAATCACGATTCGTACTTAAAAGACGAATCCAATTTTTCGAATGTACATATATGTGTATATATAAGATTGAAACTTTGCTCGTTCGACAACGAGCTCTTTCGGAAGTCTGCATAATACTCTTCGTTCAAATTCAAACTATATATTGTTCCCGGGAAAATGTTATCTTATCGTTTCGGTTTATTCGTTTATCGTTTATGGTCTCCGTTCGCTTCGAACTAGTCGCACCGTGGAAACAAGTCACGTCGATACAGTTCAAAAGAATATATCGGATAAAAAGTTGGCGCGAAGGTAAAGTTCTTGATTAATTCTTTAAATTCGATTCAAACGTATAGTATTTCGTGTAGATTTCTTTCGATATTTCAATTCGATAGAACATGTATTTCCGATAACATTCGATAACGTGAAAATATATATCGTATTTATACGTTCGATCAAAGATTTTACTTTGATCGTTGTCATCCTTTCTTTACAACGGAAGTAAAAATCTATTCAACCGTCGTATATGTGTGTACATATATGTATCGTGATTATAGTACCTTAATTAAAAAATACTATCAATTTCAAATACTATTAATATCCATTTATCAGCGTTTACCGAGTTGATGAAGTGCAGAAATAATTGATTTTGTGATAATATCGAAATAATAGTTTAGAAATGTTTACGAAGTAATCGATGTTTATGAGAGGAATCGACAAATTTGCTGAACAATTTAACAAGGAGTGGTTGGTCCACATAATTTCGCATACAATTCGTTTCGTAACTTCGAAATAACCGATTCAATGAATTTATTCTCTATCACGATTGCTCATTGTAGAGAGAGAGAGAGAGAGAGAGAGAGAGAGAGAGAGAGAGAGAGAGAGAGAGAGAGAGAGAGAGAGAGTAAGTAAGTTAAGTTAAGTTAAGTTAAGTTAAGTTAAGTAAG